TCATAAGGAAACACACAGTACTGTAAAAAAAAAAAGATCACAGTAAGTACCATGGTAACATTATAATTAATTGTAAAAATGATCACACATTGTTTGTATTTTTAAGTTATGTTGATGCCTTAGAAAACAAGTCCCATTATATATTAGCAATGTTGATCATCATCATTTTCGTCACCATTGGTATTATTTAGTTATTTCATTGTCATGATAATTATTAGATCTATATTACTGTGTATAGGTGTAATTTTGCCCTACCTGACGTGGAAATGTACCGAATACTCAGTACATTTGAAAACAACTGCGAAAAAAATCGCAAATTGTTCTCGGGTGGGACACGAACCCACGATCTCCAGATCACTAGCCTGGCAGCATACCTCTTGACCACCGAGCTTGCGCCTGATGGCCAGGTTTGAATTCGAGTCCAAGTAAGCAGCGGGTACTGCAGTGTTGATAGTAATTGTTATTGTCGTGATGGAATAATAGACAATAACTGGATTTGCGTCAGGAGAAACATGTATAGGTGTAATTTTACCCTACCTGACGTGGAAATGTACCGAATACTCAGTACATTTGAAAACAACTGCGAAAAAAAATCGCAAGTTGTTCTCGGGTCGGACTCGAACCGACGATCTCCAGATCACTAGCCTGGCATCATACCTCTAGACCACCGAGCTTGCGCCTAATGGCCAGGTTTGAATTTGAGTTAAAGGAACTAACCGTTTGCCCAAAAAGCACCTAGGCCAATACATAACTGGTCAAATCTCAATAGTAAAATGCTAGGTCGTAGCTGGAGGGACCCGTCATAAAAAAAAAGCGTGTTTGTGGGATTTTGGTCTATTTGGTTTTTTTTTTTAATTATAGAAAAGATTACCGTATTTCCAAGGCGTTGTACAGTAGTAGTGTTGCGTAATAGTACAGTAGTAAGAAGGGCAGCCATGGGACTTGGCCCCGAAAGAACATGAGTTACGTCACTGTTAATTAAGTCTCGGTAGTAAAGTGCTGCGTATAAAGCACCTTTAAGGGATTTTTTTTTATTGGTTTAGTAACTCTGGAAGAAAAGTGATAACCAAACACAAGTGCTCTTCTCTGGTTTAATTACGCTCTAAACGAGACTATAATGTGCTCTTTTTACTTCGTATAATGTTTGCTTCATCCAAAAGATCTTTCATAATTATGTAATGATATAGGCTTAAGTACATGTATAAAAGGAAAGAACATTGTCCCAAAAAGAACTACTATTTTCTGCTACCACTGTATCAATATAATGACTGCTATGCGAATGTGGATAAAAATAAATTATCTTTATTATTGGTTAATACACGAACCCTTTAAGCGCAATATCTTGTACGTGTATTAAGTGACTCGTGTAAGAAATGTTTCGGATTTTAATACTTAATATTATAATTGGGAAGCCTTTCGACTAACCAACTACAAAGTCGAGGTGACATGATAAAACACAGTGAATCATCAGATTTCAAGCAAACAAACAACACTAACACGTGCAAGAAAAGTATGTGGATGTAAATCCGGGCACTCACTGCGCACGACGGTCGTCAGCCGACACGATTCCATGCGGCGCGCAACGGATCGATTTTAATGACGATCCGTTCAGACTACCACTGAAAATTAGCAGACAGTGTCGTGTTGTCTAACGCTCACAAGGAGCGGAGTTGCATTCGTCGGCTGACGGTCGTACGACGCAGTAAGTGCCCAGCTTAAATGCGTGCGCGTTTTGTGTGAGACCAATTGCAAGGAGTCGGTTCTTCCCTAAAGTTTTTTAAAGTGGCGTGAGTTTTGACAATATAACCTGCTAATTTAAAATACTGGATAAAATATACATTAGTCAAACACTATTATTTGCTCTTTATTAGTAAGAATACAGCTAATTACAGTACTTTTACTTTGATTGTTTAAAACCACTATGTGTGGCTGTCTGTAGTATAAAGCTTTCCGTCTTTCCGTCACTTACAGCACGCTGTGATATACAGATCCCCGACCCAATTCCCGTACTGACCGCAGTTTCCGTGGCACTGGATCTTACTATCCCCGAACGTAGCCGGTTGGATGTAAGTAGCAGTTGCGGAGTATTGGTTTATAGCACGCATATGGCCTGCGGAACGACTAAATCCAGCTGGACAGGAACCACTAGCCAGAATACAGTAATGACCTGGAGGCCATTTACCTATGAAAAAAAAAAAAAAACCAAAAAAAAAAAAAAAAAAACATTATAGTATGCTTTTACACATTATGTCATATCATTGCTGGTTATTTTTTTCTTTGTTCATAAAAAGAAGCAAAAAAGATATCTATAATTATCAAACACTGTCCGTCAGAATTTATTTGAAGAGAAGCCATTACAGAAAGTATGTATTACCAAGATTTGTCAATAAGCATCCAATTTCCAGTTTCTTATTAGCCCGTTATTCGATCATTATATTCTTGGTATCCGGATCGAGATCTTCTCGTATGGACGCACGGCAGCTAACGGTTAGCAGGATCCGGTTCCTGCTAACCGTTAGCTGCCGTGTGAGAACATAGCCTAAAAATCTATTGACGAAAATTAAACTAAATCTATTTTCTTTAGAATTCGGAGGAAAATGGCTGTCTAGTACGATTTAATTAATCCAGGGAACAGTGAAATTTCAGTAAGGACAATGATTTCACTGTTCCCTGATTAAACTTAATTTGTAAAATTCGGGTTGAGACATTAATAACTTGATTTCACGCTCTGAATGAAAATGTACTATCACACGAATTGTATTGAGTTTTTTAATAAAATTAAGTCGCATGTGACGTGTTTGCTTTTGGTAGTTCTTTACCGATTAGCTTATAAGAAGTTTTAAATATTTTGTTCCTTGGTACAAGGTGATAAAGTACTAGGCTAATACTAATAGAACACTAAAATTCAGGAGTCTATTCATTTTCCTTTTTGTGTGGCGGGAGGGAGGTGCGCATTGCTTGAGGTTGATTCTACAGTGGTCAAGGGGCCCTACACGGGTATTTAAAAAAAAAAATTAGACAACCAGAAAAAATATGAAATAATTATAGGATGATGAGAATGAGATGATAACGACTATAATGATGTTGATGGAGAAAATAGCTGCAAAGTTGTTGGATTGAGTTTCCACACACCCTGCATCCCTACCATTGTTGGGGGGGGGCTGATG